ATAAGAACAAACGTAAGTCATGTAAAGGTACAAGATCCCAATGATGAATGTAGCTGTACTGTATACCTAAAATGTCCCAATAAACAATAAAGATAAAAAATAAGACCACTGCATGAGGTCTTGTAGTGGGGGAGAGAGACTGGACTCAACTCCAGTTCTAAAAAGGGCAAGTGAAATCTATAACCAAGGAGTATAGTGGAAGCAGTGGATGGAAATTTACTAAGAGAAGATATCAGAAGTAAGGATAATTCCTGCTGCAGTTAGGCCAAGAGTGATAAGAGATTGAGCATGGTTATGTACCAATGTCTAGGAATTTTTCACTAAACTGACATAATCTGCATTCTGTAAGAACAAAGAGAGAAGCCGAAGGTCAGGCCTGATCAAGCAAAGAACTCGGAGGAATCTGACTATAATTTTGGTCAATACAGTCTTTGTCACAATAAAACCCCAGGAAGGTTAGATAAATCAATAATTCTTTATTCTAGTAGTAAAAGTTACCTTGGGAAGTACTGTATTGGGGAGATATTTAGTCAGCATGACCTTTGTTTTGTTTTTACTTCCGGTGGTGAGGAGATAAATGTTTGTTAACTCCTCATGCACACAAACATCATTGCATGATTTTCTCTATTACACAGACTTGCACTCTTATCCGTTTTTTTTTTAAACTCTTCAATTATGAATGCTCCTTTTTCAGGAAACATTAAAAGGCTCAGCATTACTCTCACTTTAGAAACTCTTCTGGATTCTAGGTGGTTTGATTTGTCTTTAGTAAAGTTAAAGAATGATATTATATTAGAAAAAAAGGATGTTTTTTCCCCTTTCCTGTTTCATTTTGTTTTAGCTTTAAAAACATGATAAATTGTGCTAAGATGTGACTCTAAAATGCTGCCTGAGATCTGTTTGCAGGTGGATGTCTCCAAACATGTGATAACAAAAAGAGGATTAATCACGCAAAATGTCACAGGTTGCACTGATCGCTCTGTCTCAGTGTTATACATGATCACATGGTTCACTGGTTTCTGAACATCTTTTCTTTTACTTTTTGAGCAGCTTTCTTGTTTACATCTACCACTGCAAATGACAGGAAGATTAGCTTAAGATTCTAGCATTGTCTTATTTTGCTTATCGTTAATTTAATTTTTTTTAATTTTATTTTTTGGTACTGGGGATTGAACTCGGGACCTTGCATTTGCGAGGCAGGTGGTGGAACCACTGAGCCAAATCCCCTGCCCTTGTTTTGTATTTTTTGAAATGAAGTCTCACTATATTGCCCAGGTTGGAATTTACAATCTTTCTACCTCAGCCTTCCTAGAAGCTGGGATTGCAGGTGTGTGTACCACCTCACCTAGCTCAGCTTATCACTTTTAAACTGGAGTCTTGATCTCCTACATTGTTGATTCCAAATTGGCCACTTGAGGTCTAACACTTTATGATTGTTGAAGATATATTAGCAAAACTACTAAGTGATTAGTTTAAATCATAATATTCTTTCTTTCTTTCTTTCTTCTTTCCTTTTGCTTTCTTGCATTCTTGCTTTCTCTTTCGACAGTCCTGGGGATCTAACCCATATCCTCATATATGCTAGATAGGCACTTTACCATGCAGCTACACCCTCATATATAATATTTTTTCTCTTTAAAATTTTTTCCTTTTTTTTTTTTTTTTTTGAGACAGGGTCTCACTGTGTAGTTGAAACTGACCTGACCTGGAACTCACTGTGTAGCCCAGGCTGGCCTTGAACTCAGTTATCCTCCTGCCTCAGACTCTTGAGCGCTGGGATTACGGGCATGCACCAGCACACCCGGCCGAAATTTTTTCCTTTTGAGACATCACCTTGTTATGTTATCCAGGCTGGCCTGGAAACACCATCCTTCTGCCTTAGCCTCCGGAGTAGCTGGAACTATAGTCATGTGAGACCACACTTAATTCCTGCAATTCTTTCTTGTTAAAAGCAAATTTCATCAAACAGCTACTTTTGAAAATTCTAATTCATAGATCCAACTATTTTATTAACCTATTTGAATCTAGAAACTATTTTAAAAAGGATTGTTTTCTATATGTATCTATTATTACACTTTTAAAAAAATATCTATGTTTCTGAAATAAGTTATCAAAAAATAAAATACTAGAGTTGTGAAGGACTCTGATCTTTCAACTGAAATGTGAAAAAGGCAAAAGGGCAAACTCATAATTCTGTAGGTAGGCACAGCAGGTCTTTACCAAATGTCACAGTGTTCACTAATGTGTGAAGTGTCTTTGAAGGGCCTGCTGTGACCTAGCCAGGCCAGTACCTCTGAGGACACACCAGCCCTCTTGGTAATAGATAATATTTTGTTTGCTAATGAACTAAAAAACTGAAAACAAGAATTTATTGAAGACAGCCAACTGGAGAGTGTGTTATGTGTGTATACAGTTGTAGGTAACTGACAGTGCTTATGGGAATAGAGGTTAAAACAGTCATCTTCTTCACGATAATGTCCTGCAAGGTTTTTCGCATTTAAAAGCAGGAAGTTTTGACCTTTATTCTGAGCAAAAGAATTGACCAAAATTGATAAATGAGGAGCAAGTGAATAAAAGATGGGACACGCTTCTTCAACAAATAGCAGTTTTATTTCAATACTGGTGAGAATGGGTGCAAGATACTATATAGATTTTTATCACAGTTACAAATATGAAAATATATTAAGCAAATACATAATTTAAATAGACTAATGAAGTTCTTTGCTCAAATAAAGTTGGTTAAAAACACAATATTGTGGGTAGATGCTAGAGCATACAAAAAATAGAATCAACTACTGCCATTTTAACCAGACGTGCTGAGAAAGAACAAATGATTTAAAAATATAAAAGTGCTCTATTATAGAACATAATAAGTTCAGTTGCTAGAATTATTTACTTTATATATTTGTGGTGCATATAGATCAAAGAACAGAGCCTGATGAACTTCCTTAGACATAAGAATTATCCAAGGGATACTATCTAATATCCAAAAGTATCAAGCTAGGAGCAATTTCCAATGAAAAATGTATGTGGAATGTCTATGAGCTGTGAACTATTTTCTACAAGGTGGGAGTAGAGAATAGATTAAAGACTTGGTTTTGTCTTTGAACACTTTATAAATCTGGCCAGCCTCACATGGAAGACCATAGATCAAGTACTGCTCACGTAAGAACACTGGTGCAGTCTCCAGCCATCGTGGCTGAGATTAGGACATTCCACGGACACTGTCCCGGTAACTTGGAAATGAGCACAGTTTAACTCTGCTAGGTTCCTGAAACTACACTGCATGTGTTCCTTTCTTGATGGGATTCGTTTACACATAGCAGCTGAAACAAAATATCTCAAGCATAACTCAAAGCTTACTGTTAGGGTGAGGATGGTATTTCTTGAAAGAATTACTTGAGGCAGAAAACAGCCATAATGAACTCATCTTGCGACTATTCTAGAAGGGACACATTGCGTTTGTCTGACATATTCACAGTTTTGAATAACTTATTTTGGTGTCTTATGTAAGATCATGTGCATTGGCATATAAGTTATAAAAATAATCTTTGGTAAATCTTTTAATATATCTTTTACTTCCATTACATAAACTTCTATTTTAGGAGCATTCACCAACAATTTCCTTATTTAATGAATGTATCTATATAGACAATCTTTAAATAAATAAAATGCATACAGTTATTCCAAAGGAGCTTCCCTGCAATTCAAGAGTATTCTTTTAGCCAGAAATATTTCCATTGCTAGAAACATTTTTAGAACAGAACAGATTTTTTCTGTTATCGTGGCTGCATCAAATGTTACCTTGCATTTTAAGTAAAATGGCCAAATATTTTCAAAATCATCATGCTCTGCAAGAATCTCAGGTAGTATGTCTACCAAACCCAGCACATTTAGTCAAACACCTGGTCGGCTGACAAAACCAGATGAAGCAATTCAATTGCTTGATCAGCAAAATTATCTGGCCAATATAATCAAAGTGAACCCCTGAAAATTGCAGTATAGGTTGAATATCCCTTATCTGAAATGCTTAGAAGTGTTTTAGGTTTTATATGTTTTTGGACTTTGGAATGTATATAAATAATATTTTTGGAATAGGATCCAAGTCTAATCATGAAATTTATTTGTTTCATATATACCTTATATGTATAGTTGATGATAGTTCCATGCAACATTTTAATGCACCTGTATTTTGACCATGACACATCACATAAGGTTTATTGTAGAATTTTCCTCTATATGGTATCACATTGGTGCTTAAAAAACCTTAGATATTGGAGCCTTTCAGATTTCAGTATTTTTGGATTAGGGATGTTCAACCTATATATCCTAATAGAAATATATGATCAGAAGTTTTAAAGAATAATCTAATTACATAGAACAAATTAACATTTTTATCTCCCTGATTATATCTGGTTCAACTGATTTTTTTCAAATGTTTTCCCTTCTTTGTATCATTTTACTTGCTTTCTGCAGTCACAGTTTAGTTTCCTTTATAGGAAACATTCTTTGAATACAAAATTGATTCTAAATCTTGGGCTAAAGATCCCCCAAAAATTAATAGGGCAGCCAGACAAATATGGCATATTTTACTTTGCTTCTACAGGAATGATGTAGGGCTGAGAGCTTATTCCCTGCCACATGGAGGAGAATTGCCCATTCTTTCTTGCCAATGTCTTGGCTGATCACGTGCTTTCATTTCTTCAATGAAATGGAACTTGAAATGCCCTTGTATTGCTACCACAAACAAGCAGCTTCCTACCTATTAATTGTTTCTAGGTTAGGTTGAGTCTGGTCCATGTGTGTGGACTAAAACCCCAGAGATGGGGCTCAGATTCTATCAGACAGATCTGGTAGCTTTAAGGTTTCAAGATTCCAGGGCTGGAAGCTCAGTGGCACCACACAAGCTCAAGGTCCTGAGTTCAGTCCCTGGCACCAAAAA